CTTGCCTTGAAGCACTGCAGACCACCTTTCACAGCCACTTTAAGCAGACGAGGAAGTGGGACAGCCTCTGACAGAGGCAATTCTGCCCCACTTCCACCTTCGCCTGCATTTCCTACCTCTAAAGTCGGCCCAACTCATGTCTGTACAGGAGATCGGACAACCAAGCTGGATTAACACATTTTAAACTAAATGTGGCTGTCCCAATGCTTGCACCAGCAAACAAGGGTGCAAAAGCAGAACAAGCAGCAATGGGCAAAGACAAGATGCTCCTTCTGTTGGCACTGTAAGTCTCTGCTTAAGGAAGCCAGGGAACTACAGAGTATCTTGGCCATTGCTGGCTGGAGTAACTAATTACAATGTTAAAACAGTGCTTATTTCTCTGGAGATTTGCCATGTTTTGAGGAGCTGGCTCCAGCTCTGTTGGATTTCTCACAGGGAACCTGTGCCTTAGAAAAGTCTCCCCCTTAACTCTAGCTCATGCTTGATTTTTCTTATCTGCCGGGTATGGATGAGACACTCAGCTGTTATAATTTAACGCTGCTGTCCTATTAGCTTTCCCAGGTACCAGAATCCAACTCAATTGAAGTAAATGACAGTCTTATCAACTCCACGGACTTTGAAGCAGGCTCCAGCTATGGGATTGATCCAATATGTAAATGCCAAGTCTGATTCCAGGAAGGGAGGAAAATCATCAGCTGAAATTGTTTAAAGACTTGCAGATATATCTTGGCATGCTAAATGGAAATGAAGGAATTTCTCAGGGAGAACGTTAAGTAATTCTCAAAATAATTGTTAACACACACAACACAACCCCCATCCCACCTCTGTCACTCAGTCAGGTTATGGTTTACCCACTGCAGTAAACTGTTAAGTAGTTTGCACTGTTTGTGGTTATACTTACTATTGTTCTTGGAAACAAAGACCAAATTAGTGGCCGGCTTCAGAAGTTTAAAATAAAAATTTGGTATCAAGGTGTGCTGGTCACTCTTGTGTCCACTAAACATCTGTATTCAATTACAAAGCATTTTAGAAAGAGAGTCAGGGAGCATTGTTTGGGACATAAACTGGACCTAGGCCCAAGAAAGGGATCTAGAAAGCCCGAGCTCCATCACCACCTGCTGTTGGAAGCACTGACAGCTACCAGCGTCCAAATTTGGTTGATCAGATTTCCTAAGCACTCCAGTTTAAGCTACCACACCTGAATTCCTTGATCTCGGGACGTCCTAGCCAGGCTCTGCTACTCCACATAGAATCACATAGAATCATAGAATCATTGAGGTTGGAAAAGACCTCTAAGATCATCGAGTCCAACCGTCAACCCAACACCACCATGCCCACTAAACCATGTCCCTAAGCGCCTCATCTACACGTCTTTTAATCATAGAATCATAGAATCATTAAGGTTGGAAAAGACCTCTAAGATCATCGAGTCCAACCGTCAACCCAACACCACCATGCCCACTAAACCATGTCCCTAAGCGCCTCATCTACACGTCTTTTAAATACCTCCAGGGATGGGGACTCCACCACTTCCCTGGGCAGCCTGGTCCAATGTTTCACCACTCTTTCAGTAAAGAAATTTTTCCTTACATCCAATCTAAACCTCCCCTGGCGCAACTTGAGGCCATTTCCTCTCGTCCTATCGCTTGTTACTTCGGAGAAAAGACCAACACCCACCTCGCTACAACCTCCTTTCAGGCATTCGCATCCCTCTGGATCCAACAGACACATGCAGAGAGCACCCAGTGTGAAATTTTAGGGGTGATTTCAGCAGATCTAAGACTGGCTGCCTTAGAGTGGGCGCTGAGGCTGTGAATGATACCCAGGACTAACAACCTCAGACAACATCTTAAGCATCTGCCAGTGGTAAGTTACTGTCCCATGGCATTGAAATACTTCTGGAAAAGAAGGCAGGAGTGGTGCCGTAGTCCCACCTATGTCAATATTTTGTATTGGCAAAATAAAAGCCCAAAGCTCTAGCAGTAGTTACCTAGGATAAAGACAAGATGGGGAAGAGGGAGTCTCTATAGCTTACCATCACCTTTGCGCTTTCCGTCCTCTGGTCGCTGGGGTCCCGATTACAGCAGGGCTCATTTAGGACCCTCAGCAGTACCTGACATCAAGCCTTCTCCAGCATTCTTTCTGAGCTCAAGAAGCACCACAGGGCCTTGAGTACCTTCTGAACCAAAAGGGTCTCTCCCTAGCTCACAGCAGGATTTCTTGGCAGCTCAGGGCAGGTAAAAAGCCAAAGCAGGGTACAACTGAGCTTTAAGTAAGGCAAGAAACTCTGTTCCATATTTTGTTCGTTATTGAGGTAGGCAGAAACTTCAGCACAAAAACTGTGACTAGAGACAGGGAGAAAAGCAAACTTGCTTAAGCATCATCTAAACAAACTGAACTGGAGAAAACACTGAACAAACCTTCTGAGGATACCTTTCAAATATAACCACCTCGCATCTGCTGCGTTACATGCTACAAATATGTATCTGCTACAATTAACGATTGGCTAATTGTATGCATTTCAAAAAAGAAGAGAGTCTTTCGTGATTTATCAGTCCTTCTGAATTTGCCATTAAAAATATTTGCTAAGGCAGAGTGTTCGAATACCTGTCTAGCTCCGAAGCTGTCAAAAATACAGGAAACATCAAAGAGGCTCTGCTGCATCCCTAAAAAGAAAGGAAATAATTGTAGTTGTGGTATTGGTAAACCTACAAGGGTTTTCTGTTAATATCTCTAGCTACCACACAACCACAAGAACTGTCATGATATGCATTTATATGATTTTTTCCTTTTGGGTATAACCATCCCAGCTAAAATACCCCATATGCTAAAAGATTGATGCTTAATACTTCTTTCCAGATGTGCTCTGGTTTAGTTAAATATTTAACACATTTCTAGAAGTATGTAGTCTATAATTGCATTAATACTTCAGAAGAATGATGTCCTGGTGAGTAAAGGGGAAGATATTCCAAGGCTGGCCGTGTACCTACTCCTGCCAGTGATCAGTAGAAATCAGACAGGCTGTCTTTAAAAAAAAAATATCTCTGATTACCATTGATCATCGTGGATGGCATTTAAACAGCTACACAACCACAACCCCGACAGTGTCTCCCAGTAATATTCCCAAGGCCTAAAGTGACGTTCTGTAACATGGTAAAATTGCAAACAGTGAAGTCCTCATTTAAATTCAAATATGTACAAGCAAAATTGCATGACGCATGCAACTGGATGTATTTAATTGCTGAATTCTGTGCTGTTAACAAAATAGTTTTGCCTTTTTCCCTACGCATTTCCACAAACAATTGCTCAAAAGACCCAAAGTGTAAGAGCTGGAAATAAGATGGATCCCTGAAGAAGCGATGAACATCTCCACAAAAATAAAAACATGAAAGCAGTCCTCCAATGAGATGCTCGACTCTGGCAAATGCATGTATTAAAAGCCTTGGGAATAGCTGACAAAATTTTAAACAGTAACATCTAACTCAAGTGTGGTCTGACTAAACAGTACTCGGAGAAGGATTTTGGACGAAATTTAGAGCAGTACCTCAATGAATAGGAAATAATGCATTCACCCCTTTCAATAATCCCATCCTTACCCTTCAGAAGAACAGTCAAAGCAGCGAGAAAATGAAAACCTGTTGAGATGTGGTGAGAGGAGGAGTAAATAGGGAGCTTTTCTCCACCCCACTCCATGGCTGCTCTGGGCAAGAAAGCACGCTAGGCAACCAACTCTCAAGGAGCAACAGGAAATACTACCAAGGATCTCAAAAGTCCTATGTGCTCAGGACATACTCCTTAAACCCCTAAACCATGGCGTGCAACGGTGACCTTGTGAGATGATGTGTCTGTGTCTGCAGCAGTAAACTAAACAACGTTCAGGGCACGCTCCCAAGCACTCAGGCTAACTGGCACAGCATCGACACAGGTAATTACGCTACCAGGGCTGGCCACATCCCCACTGCTTATTGAGCGTTCCCAGTCTCCCTGGCCTACACCAATTCACAAACTGTGACCTGGAGGTGCTTTGAAGTCACCAGTTGATCAGAGCCAGAACAGAGCAAAGGCTAAACAACGTTCAGGGCACGCTCCCAAGCACTCAGGCTAACTGGCACAGCATCGACACAGGTAATTACGCTACCAGGGCTGGCCACATCCCCACTGCTTATTGAGCGTTCCCAGTCTCCCTGGCCTACACCAATTCACAAACTGTGACCTGGAGGTGCTTTGAAGTCACCAGTTGATCAGAGCCAGAACAGACCAAAGGACAATTCTAAAAGCTGAACAGAACAAGCAACTGAGTTCCAGCGCTTGCGATGCGTAAGACATATGGACATAGCCTCCACAACCATCGTCCACAAGGTCTGCGCCAAGGCAGAACCGTGATGTTACCCAAGTCCTTCAGCCCACTGTATAAAAGTCAGCAGAAAAAGGTTCATCAACCAGACGGAGGGAACATGCATTATGCACAGATGATTTTAAAAGCATTAATACTGAGAAAATGTAAGGGTACATTTTCTGCTAAAATCTATGGGAACCGTTAGGCTATGTGGGTGCTTTTATAAAACTTAAACCTACCCTGTTTCAGGATGGTGAAGTTATGCTTACTGCCAGTATGACCATTTGAACATCTTGATAAAAATGGGACTGTTTAGTCACATGCACAGAGAAGAATCGGAACATGGTTATTACATGGACCACAATTATCCCACACAGGTCCTTCCCATTACAAATTACAGTCTTGGAAAAATAAAAGCAGCAGCAGGGGAAGGGAAGAAAGACAATTTACCAGAAACACAAAAGAAGCCTGGAATAGGGGAGGATTCAATTTTAGTTAAAATACAGGCATTTTATTTCCTAATTATTTTTTAACATTTCAGGTTTATTCAAAAGACATTATTCTGCAGGCATGTATCTTACAGGTCTTAAGACTGATAAAACACTAGGAATAATGTGATAACCCTAGCAAATGAAGACATGGCTAAAATCATACCAGAGTGATATTTTTTTTTCCTTTTAATAAAACTTTGGACATTTCAATCCAATTTTTAATACTGGCCAAAGCCATTCATACCTAGAGCATTTGGAATAGTCCATTAAAGAAACAAAACTTGACAAGATGCAAACAGCAGGCTACACTTGATTTCTGCAACTGATGGCAAAAGCTGCTGGAGAAGTATCTGTACACTTTAAAAATGTTACATCAGTGACAAATGGAATTTTGTGCTTTAATACTTTGCTTGAAAAGTCTCTTTATCCAACATGAAGTCAGCAAATCTCTGCTGGAGCTCCTTTTCTCTCTCCTGCTGTCGCTGCACATCTTCCTTCAGACACTGTAAGGAAAACATAATTAAGCAACCAACCAGCTTTTCCAATAGTGACACCCATGAAGATCTTTACCAAAGGTTGTATTTTAGTTCCTTTAGAGGAAGGGATCAGAACTGAGACAGGACATTGCTGAGATTACTTATTTGAAATAGAAATGTAAAACAGAGCAGTTGACGTAGAGTATCAAGAATCACAGTTATCTTACTTCAAATGTCAGGTATCTTACCCTGTTTTTGACAGCAGTTAATATCAAATGCTTCAAAAGGAGAGATTTCAAATGGGAAACTTGCCACAAGCAGTGCATTGTATTTAACAGTTATCCGTGGATTCTTCTTCCATGAGTTTGTTCACAACCTTTTTTGGGTAACCTTCCCAATTAACCCTACATCCTCCACCAAGGCCTTCCACAGGCCGCCTTCCACTAACTATACAGCGCATGAAGGAGAACTACTGCTTGTTCTAAAACTGCCAGCTGCTAGTACATTTGCTCTCCCTTCACCCTCGTATCAGAAGAGACAGTACATGTATTCTGAGGATTAGCCCTGAGTAAAGTGCCATTTACTAAAAACAGGTGTTATTAGTAGCTATCAAGCTATTTAATACATTTTACTGTTAACTTTCACTAAATCAATTAATCACTTCTGAGTTTGTAAGCACATCTATCAGCACTTCTAAACAGTCTTCACAAAATCAGTTTTAAGAACTGATTCATTTTATCTTTTTTACAGCGAGTGGTTGAGAAGACTTGAGACTCAATGGAACCCTTTCTTCTGGAAGAAAAAAAAAATTAAAAGAAAAATTGTGCTCAGATGAGTACTTATTTCTGGGAAAGCAAGCCTGGCACTGGCTCAAGCCTAGGACTGAGTCTTGGTTGAGGGTTGCCTTGTTAGCTGAATAAAGCAGAGAAGAATATCCTGGAGATCCTTAAACTAAGAACAGTGGCTCTGATGCATTGTTTTCAGGTATCTTAGTGTACCTGTTTCTGCTAGTTCCGGGATGAAGTTAAGGCTGCTTAAGAGAAAGAGGTATCTTCCTCCTCAAAGCCGTGCCAACCGGTTAGAGGCCGGTAAGGCAGGTGGTGTTATTCAGGAGCAACGGTCCAGATCACACATGCACACATTGTTAGCCAGCAACAGGACTGCAGGCAAATGGCCTGAGCTCTGAGGATGGCTCAAAATTACAATTACAGAACAACTGCTCAGCTTCTGAAACTGAGAGGCATGTTTAAATCAGTACAATAACCCCATTTCAGTGCTGGCTTTCTAAAAGTCCAGCCATCTGCCAGTCTGACAACAACGTTAACTTCAGGGAGTAATACAATCAACATGTGAAAAGAAAGGAGAATCTCCTGTAGTATATACTGGCATTTGGCCCACTGACTTTTAAGGAAGTAGGAGGCTTTACACAAGTTTCAGATCCACCCTAAGTTCTAACAGTAATTAAAAACAAAAGAAGCCAAATTAAGATAGATATGGAACTTCTGCCGATATGCATTGCAGAAGATTAGTAAAATAAACCACACAAGGAAATAAAATATAAACAAAGTTAAAGAACACACTAGTAGATTAGTCCCAGCTTCTAATATATATATCACGGAATCTTTGATATTGAAGTGAATGTCAGAGGAGTCTGGTAATAGCCAAAAGTATAATTTAAAAAGATGATTAAAAACTTGATACAAACTCAGGCTGTGAACCTCAGAGCCCATGCATTGTAAAAACATTTTTTCCACAAAGTGCCTGTATTTGACCTAAGGTATCACATTTAGGAATCTCACCTCCAGTCTCCGAGGGATTGCAGCATCTTCATGTTTCTTCAGTTCCTCAAAAGTACGTAGCTCCAGATGTGCCTGTTCGATTTGGTCCCACAAATCATTCAATTGTTTGATGAGGCCCATTGCTCGAGACTGATAACCACCAAGCAAGATCTTCAGCTTCTTCTCCATCTTGGCAGCCCTCTTTGCTTCAGTTGTCATGTGACCTCTGTTTATCTGCCAGAAGGAACCAAAGAATTGTTTTATTTATCCAGAACTCAAGAGTCAAGGGGGGGAGGGGAAGTAGTAAAAATGTATCTGTGGAACTGTATCGAGTTGATTGAGTTCCTCGATTTCTATTTTAACAAATCATACTACGCATTTTACAAACACCTATATTTCTGGATTTAAACCTTTACAATGTAAATACATCATTCCAGGGGTGAAGTCCACTGGCCAAAACAGGGGTGATGACACACTATATGAGTACAGCTTTATAGACAGGAATTGTTGCAGTCGCTGAGCTAAGCAAGCAGCCAAGTCACATGATAGCTTGCTACGCCACATCCCACTTAACACAGGAGATGTTCTTTGCCTTAGTAAAGGAGAACTAAACAAAGATATTATGTTCCTCCTTTTCAAAATTATATTCCTAGTCTGCAAAAACAGCCACATCTTTCAATCCTTCTGCCTATCCCAAAAGGATTCATCTAAATCATATTCCATAAAGTAAAAAGGCAATCGGGAATGTTAAGGCAGCTCTGAAATCTGTCCCTCTGTTGCAGAGAACCATACTGAAAACATTTAGACTGGTCTAAGTGGCAAATGAATGGCAATGTTGGGTCATGGAAGCACTGCAAGGAACAGAAGAAGGACTATTAGAATGGTAACTAAATCCTACCACCTATCTGCATGCACTTCCTCAGGACAGCCACATCAGGAGACAAAGGACCAAGACTAAATCCTGGTAACTCACAGAGGTGGGACAGGATGGACACACCAACTACTGTCTGCTTCTAAAAGGCATGAAAGGCAAATCCAAAAAAAACCCCAAAACAAAATAAAATCATGGTCACCATCCCAAGAAGAACCCAGGTGCCATGATGAAAACTCAACAGGTGGTGACCTTTCATTCCTGGTGTCTTCATAAAGCATTTCAGAAAGACCGCTTGGATTCAAATGTCTCGGTAGCTGAATGCTGGACAGATTACTTGATTATGTGTTCAAGGTCAGGCTGGATGGGGCTTTGAGCAACGTGATCTTGTGAAAGATGTCCCTGTCCATGGCAAGGAGGTTGGACTAGATGGTCTTTAAAGGTCCCTTCCGACCCAAACCATTCCATGATTATGCATCTTAGTGTTTCTAAGCATGTGAGTATGAGACTGCAAATAAGCGAAATTGGTTTTGTCTTAAAGTAACCTCACCTATCTGTAAGATCTCCCATTCAGCTTTACTACATTGCTATAACGTTGCAACATTATTCCCTCCTGCACCATTCCAAAAACCTGGAGCTCCCCAGTGGCCTCTCTAGTAACACTGCTTTTGCGCAGGGCTTTTCCCTCAAGGATCTCAAAGCAAGAAGGTAAGATTATCTTTAGCTAACAGACAAATAGTGAGATAGCACAATGAATCAGCTGCCTAAGCTCAGTGGCAAAAGGCAGAAGCAAACCCCCACAACTTACAATCCAATAGCGCACACAACAGATGTGACAAAGTGATGAGGTTAAAATGTGCTATCTAAACCACAAAGCAATTGGCATGTTAGATGTGAAGTTCTCCTTCCTGTACCATTCTGGTGAGTGCTACCTGGTGTGCCCTGGATTTAGAAGTCTTAGTTTCCCTGAAGTTGTCCAGGTCAGTCCTCTAACACCGTAATCCAGACATAATCCATAAACGGGCAAGTGATACAAATTACAAAATTCTGCCAACCAGGACACAACACAAACAAGCATATTCATGTTAACATGTTATAAATGTTTTATATAACATTTAAAAAGAGCAAAGGTAACAGAAGCCTTTGTGTATTTTTATACATGTATTCAGTGGGACAAAATTAAATGAGCAGTAAAAGCATTAAATAGCCATCAGCATTTTTAAAGCCTGATAGACAGCAAAGAAATCTTTAACACTGAATCACAAACCAACAAATAACACAGGACTATACGACTGAGCAAAACTGTGGAGAGGTGTAGCATTTCACATCTCTAAATATGGACATACGGTTCCTGGTTGGTTTTTTTTTTAAGGAAGTAGCATTAAAAAAACCAAAACAAAAAAAAACCCCAACACACCCTTTTTTTCCAGAAAGCATTGTGTGAAAGATGCCAAACTCAAGAGAAAAGGAATCAGGCTTCTCAGATTTTGATTTTTGCCACAGTTAAAGATATATTAGTGCAGGAGATGAATAGTGCAGGAGATGAAGAAAACTGTGTAAGTTTTTCAAGTGTTAAATATAAAAGCCTAACTCGGAACCACAGTGGCTAAATCACCTATCCTTGCCTCATTTCTTTAAAAATCAAAGCTTTGCTGGTGAACATTCTTACATACAAAGGAATTACCACTGATCAACCAAAAAGCAGCAGCTTTTCACTGCTTTGAACCCTACAATTACCCAAGATAACATCTTTTACCAATGAAACTAAACTCCACTGGGAAGGAACTACTTTCTGATCGGTCCTTTACAGTGGTAACTACAGTCAGCCAGACAACCCCAGCCACCCCACTAGGGCTAGTGCAGCCATCACAGTCTTATGCACCAAGCTATTGCAAAGCGCATTTCATCAACCTTTCAACCGTTCAACTTTATTAAAGCACACTGTATTATACAGCTGCGTGTTTCTGTAAAACGCCCTACTCCTTAACAATTTATTCACTCATTTAAAACAGTTTTAGTAGGTGGTGCAGAGATAAACAAAGTGAATGGTCAAGGGAGCAAACTGTTAATGGGTGAGTGAAAGAGAAATTTGACTTTGAGCTGTCTAGTTTGCTCCTGGGGAGAGAGATGCAGACTGCTATGCTTTTCAGATTCTGTTTGCAATGTAGACTTAAGCTATGCCCAAGGTGCTTTAAGCATACAGAAAGGCGCCTCTTTTTCAATATTTATATAAATCTAGAGAAAATTAAATAAATAGATTAGGGATTTGTGAGGATACTCTCTGATGGAAAAGTATGAAAGTTTTAAATGTCTCCACTGGTAAATAATATGCTATTACTGCAACAACAAATACAGCTGTGCGGTCAATGAACTATTTTCCAATTACTGTTTCTTGGATGAAAAACGTGTGTTGAGAGCCACTGACATTTAGAGATCGTGGAATAGATGGATGCACAGGCAAACAGAATTTTGTTTGCAACAGAGGTCTAATGTAACAAAGATCAGTTGTCCCATGTTGTTTCACAGCTTTACAGACAACGTAGAGTATGCTTGGTGTGAAATGAAACCTCAACCAGAATGTCACTTTTCTACAACAGGTTAAAAAAGACCATTTAGAAAGGTTCACTACTCTGTCGTCCCAAATGAAGATCTGTCAACAACCTAATTTTCTAATAAAATGTTAAACACTGAGTACCTGAGGACATGAAATACAGTTATAAGCGCTATCTCCACCAAACAGAAAAGAGACTGGATCAGGGCATTGCAGTCAGAAGTCCTGAATTATCTGCATGCTCTAAGCATCACCAGTAGCAGTGGCAGTACTGGGTTGGTCTCACACTTTTACAGGCTTCAGTTGGGATTCACTTTGCTTGGCTTTAGACATCAACATCTGAGCTTGTCACCCGAGATCTTCCCATAATCAGCAGAGAAACTGGCAACTCTAGGGCATGGCTCATCTGATCAGGGCCTCATAACGAGGCTAAGCACGCCACTGGAGTGCTCTTCACTGACTAAGATGCTCGTTCAGACACCGTTACCTAAGTCAGGTGGATCAATCCCACCCTAAGCATGTACTGTTTTAATGTATGAGATATAATAAAGCATTTTTTTTCCTCCAAGAAAAGCCAAAGCCAGTTCAAATCTAATGCTTATTATAGTATCAGATCCTGATTATTTAAGTGCTCTTGAAATTTTCAGACAATGAGAACTGGACTTAATATTTCCATGTTGTTCTGGATATAGATTCTTACTTTTAACTACTAGAGCTCATTAGGTTGTATACTGCTACTCAGCCCTTGCTTTTCTACTTAGTTCCTTGTCTATCTTGGACTATCATAGGCCTCACTGCTGTAAAAAGAAAAATAAGAAAAGAGGAAAAAAGAAAAAAAAAAAAGGCTCCCAAGTATCTAAACCCAGAAATAACAGCCCTTTCTCCCTTCTCTGCTTATAGCAAGAAATGTGAACACTCACCACCTTTCCTCCTCCCTCCCAACTGCAAGATTTTAGGACCTACTACGAAAAGGTCAAAAGGAGGTCTCAGCTTTTGTAACAAATACTATTTATTAAAAATTGCTGACTGCTGCATTAATGCCAACAACTGCATATAATTTTAGTTCAAGCTTCGTAAAATTTTAAGGCTCAGATACCAAGCTAAAAATTCCAAGCAGTTATGAAGAGGTGTGTTTAAACAGTAGTCTACATTATTTGCTTAAAGCTAAGAAATAGATTTCAGTAAAATCTGACAGCCATTTCCCCCCTGAACCTAGCAGAAAATATAAAGACATTTGAAAGATTTCTCCACTTAGTTATTTATTTTATACTGGTCCTTGGCCAGCTTTGGTTCCACTGACTTTTGTACCAACTATAGCAAAACAAGAACAGCATGTACAGACATGGGGTAAAATAATATATGATGTTAGGGCAAGTGTGAGAGCCTCATCCCATCCCAAATCTCTTATGTAAAAGCCTTCCCTCGTGCCTAGTAGAGTTGTGTTCAGTTTTCAATACTACACTAAAGATCCAAAGAAATCAAAACAGAGCAACAGACATAACAGAGGTTTATAAAACGTAATCTAGAAAAGGGAGACTGACTGAAAAAAACAGGGTTTTTTTTGTTTCTCTCCGTCTAACAAAAATAGAGAAAATGAAGACAGACACAACAACGTGTTTTAAATATCCCAAAGATCATTGTGAAAAATTAGTCTGTTCTTATGTCCACTGAGAAAGAAAGAGGGATTTGATTTTGGCAAGGAAATTTTAGATAGGAGGTTAGTTGTAAGGTTTAACTAAGAACAACAAAGAACAGGGGAAGACTGCTTATGAGAACAAACATCCACTGGGAAAGATTTAAGAAAAACTGACC